CACTACGCGAGTCATTATATTTTAAGTGAGGATAGGGAGAATAGCTCCATTTCCTTGGATCTCTCAGTGTATATACTGAAAGTTTTAGGCCTATTTTAGGTAATAAAGTATTTGTAACTGGTGTAAAGGTGACATGCCACCTTAATAACCCTCGTGTAGGAGATAGACTTTAATGACTCTCGTATAGTAGATCGATTTTAATGACCGTTATGTATTAGATAGACTTTAAAATCAACCACTCAGCCTCCTTAACCATTAACTCCCCTCCCTCCTCACTGCCTCCTTCCCCTGATAGATGTGTGCAGGTGTGACCACTGATGTAGGTGGCAGGTGAGGGAGTTACCTGGGTGTAACAACAGTGTGGCAGTGGGAAGATAAGACAGAGATACGACAAGACTTGTTTGAGTGCTGAGAGAGAGAGAGAGACAGAGAGGAATTAATATATCCTGGGGTTAATATTGTGTGTATAATAGTGGCCCTGACCTTGTGTTATCATCGCCTGCACCACCTAACTATTGTCACGCTCCCTCTTTCCCTCCCTCCCTCCCTCCTTCCTTCCCTCCCTCCCTCCCTCCCTCCCTCCTTCCCTCCCACCATCCCTCTCCTTCCCTCCCTACCTTTCCCAGGATCTTCTCTCCACCAGTTTTCTCCCTTCCTCCTTACCTCAGTTTCCTCTTTTCCATTCTAGATCTCCAGTCCTCCCATTCCCTTTCTCCCTCCCTTCCCCTGTTCCATCCTTTCTTCATTCTCTCTCTTTCATATACACTCGTGGGCACAATGTTTGGCTTCTTTTGTTCTCTACTGTTCTTCTTTTGGATAAGTGTAGCCACAATCACCTCTCTCTCTCTCTCTCTCTCTCTCTCTCTCTCTCTCTCTCTCTTTCTGGGCTTGCCACACATTCACTAGATCGACATGAATCTCCTGGTACCTTCATTGAACAAGAGGCTAGGAGTAGACATGTTCACAACGTACACGATATTCATGAAAAAAGGAACAGGATGGACAATGACAAAGTGTCATCAGGCACTTCACCCCTCTCCCTCCTCATAACCCCTCTCCCTCCTACATCACCCTCCCTCCTCCATCACCTCTCCCTCCTTCCCTCCACCACACACAAAGGGATGACCAATGCAATCACGCTACCTAACAGATTTACTACTCACACACACACACACACACACACACACACACACACACACACACACACACACACACACACACACACACACACACACACACACACACACACACAAAGAGGACAGGAGAGATGGGGGGATATGATAACGACATAAAATACTTAGAGGAATCGACAAGGTGGACAGAGACAGGATGTTCCAGAGATGTGACACAGCAACAAGGGGTCACAGTTGGAAGTTGAAGACTCAGATGAATCACAGGGATGTTAGGAAGTATTTCTTCAGTCACAGAGTTGTCAGGAAGTGGAACAGTCTGGGTAGTGATGTAGTGGAGGCAGGATCCATACATAACTTTAAGAAAAGGTATGATAAAGCTCATGGAGCGGGAAGAGTGACCGAGTAGCGGCCAGTGAAGAGGCGGGACCAGGAGCTGTGACTCGACCTCTGATATTTATATATTTTTGAGATTTTAAATAATAATAATATTATAACTTGTAATAGTTATTACCGTTTATTCCAGTTCCTCTTTATTATTAACTATCACTAGTTCTTATATTCTTAGTCATCATTAGTTATCAACTAACACTAGTCATGAGTTATCTTCGTCAGTCACGGTTCCTTCCTCCCCCCCCCCTCACCACAACTCCACCAATAAGAACCCAGGAATCAGTAAATCTCCTCTCCCATTGGCTAAGTCCCACACACAAAAAAATCATCGTACCTCCAAGAATACGTACGTCAGGTAAAACGACCTATGAGAGCCCACATCGCCGTAAAACTCGTCTCCCATTGGTGGAAGACGAGCCACAAGCGGGAGGCAAAATAGGCAATGAAAATCCTCGGTCTTCATGAAAGCCTTTTTCCCACTGGGAATTTGGAAGGTATAAATACCACGGTTCCCGGGGATCCTCTGGGAGGAGCAGATGAGAATTTAAAAATTCATGGTAAACTCCGAACAAACTCCCGAGTACCGTCACTGAAGCTAGAATGTTGTGTAGTTTTAAAAATAGGTAAGACAAATACATGAATGGGTGTGAGTTGGACCTGACTGGCTTGGGCTAGTGGGTCTGATGTGGGGTTCCATCCTTCTTAAGTGGATGTGATTTGGACCTGACTAGCTTAGGCCAGTAGGTGACTTGGGCCTGCTTAGCATGAGCCAGTGGGCCTGCTGCTGTGCTCCTTATATTCTCAATGCAGTGGTAACGGCTGTGGCCTGGTAGGCAACGCTCTCGTCTCACACATGGAGTGTCCGTGGTTCGATCCCCGGCAAGGGTGGAAACACTGGGCGTGTTTCCTTACACCTTTTGTCCCTGTTCACCTAGCAAGCAAGTAGGTACCTGGGTGTTAGTGGACTGATGTGGGTCGCATCCTGGGGGACAAGACTTAAGGACTCCCAGTGGAATTAAGACAGTCCTCGATGACGCACTAACTTTCTTGGGTTATCCTGAGTGGCTAACCCTCCGGGGTTAGAATTCTTAAGCTACATCAAGGGCGTCTTGGTTGAAGGAGGAGGAGGAGTCGACCCGGAGAGCATGTTAGCCAATGAGAAAGAACCTCATCAGTGAATCTTAATTTTGATTTGACTGATAAGTTGGTGACTTTCTGGAAAGAAGATATACCAATGTTTAGTCTGTCCTGACTAACAGTTAAGGTGTATTTATACGTATGTACGTATATGTATATATGTAGAGCATTAGGTAAACGACCATTTAGCGCAGGATATATATATATATATAATATATATATATATATATATATATATATATATATATATATATATATATATTGACAGGTGTATTTCTCTCGTATATACAATGAGAAGTGTAATTCTGTCAGTGTATATACACTTACAGTTTAATTTAGTCGCTGTTATAGGTATTAAAGTAGTCTTGTCTGGTGGTGAGAAGGTTACGTGCAGCCTTAATGACCCTTGCCTAGTGGATAGGCTTTAAACCCCTCATGAACCAAGCAGTCATTTAACGGCACGGGTGAACAATATGAAGATGCAGAGAACACCATAACTCAGTTAATCCAAGATCCCTGGTGTTGGCCACGGTAGAGCCGCCTCCCCAGTATACCAAGAATAATAATCATTATTTCTACAAGTGCATGTATAACATGTACAGACCATAGCTGACATGTTTGACATGCTACAGTATAGAAAGCCCTTTGTTGTGGGAAAATTTCTGGCAAATTAGGTCAATTTTGATCCCAGGATGCGACCCACACCAGTCGACTAACGCCCATGTACCAATTTTACTGCTAGGTGAATAGGGACAGCAGGTGTCTTAGGGAAACACGTCCCAATGTTTCCTGCTGTACCGGAGATCGAAACACGATGGAACGGTAAGGAGACAGAATGAATAATGACAGTAAAGGGAGAGTCTCCATGACCTATCTCCGTCCAGCCATCTTGGAAGGGGTTAAAACAATAATTTAACAATTTCTTCTACATCATACACAAATAACCCGCACATAAAAGAGAGAAGCTTACGACGACGTTTCGGCCCGACTTGGACCATTGACAAAGTCAATGTGACTTTGTCAATGGTCCAAGTCGGACCGAAACGTCGTCGTAAGCTTCTCTCTTTTATGTGCGGGTTATTTGTGTATCGTTCCAGTCACGGTATTGTGCCTTTTTGTTATTTATCTTCTACATCATCCTTTCTTCTGACACCTCACATCCAAGCTTCACCTCAGTTATTTCTTTTGTCTCTGCAACAGCCAAAAACAAACAAGAAAACAGGCCTGAATTTAAAATTTTCTTGTAACCTCAGCATCCGTGACTTATCTTCCCAGGAGCACAGTTCACACACTCTGTCATCCTTCAGTAAATTTTATTATAAATCACGTTTTACATTATGTCGATTGTGCACGCAAGTCTTTATAAAATTATTGAATCTAGAAGGGATTTTTTGACCGAATGTATATTATTATACAGAACAAAAAATCCATAAAACCATGACTGGAGGGATACACAAATAACCCGACTTGGACCATTAACTAGCCACACTAACACACGGAGGTGAGGGAGCCAGTATATATACTGGCCACCTCACTCTCTTTGTGTTAGTGTGACTTTATTACTGGTCCAAGTCGGACCGAAGCTTTGTCGCAAGCTTCTCTCTCCTACGTTTGGGTTATTTATGTATATATTATTACAGTTAACGGTATTCATGATCTATGTTTCAAGGGTGACTCGTTCATTCAATAGCATGTTAAGGCGTCGTTATTATACGAGACTACAATCAGTACGTTGTTAATGGGGGAGTTTCAAGCCTATGGGACTGCACTAGGGCCATCATGGCTGCGTATTACCTCATTAACCCGTCAAGATAACTTTAAATCCGTAAGAAAATAGATTAAATTCTCGATGTATATACACTGAGAGGTATACATGTCTTAGTTCATTAAAACAATCGCAAATAAGCTGTTAATAAATGCACTGTTGTCCAGTGCTTCTTCACCAGCTTTCCAACGTAAGAAAATTAATGACTGAGGTGGGAAATATCCAGAGGATGACTAATGTGAACATTAAGATACATGTACAACAGTTGGGTCTCTTTATTGGTGAAACATTTTGCTTACACAACAGGTTTCTTCAGTCAAACACAAAAGGAGCAGTAGAAATAAAGATGATGTAATCTACCCTTCAACTTTAGAGGTGGTCAGTCCCTCAGCCTGGAGAAGAGTTCACCTCCATAGTGCAAAAAAAAGAATATTGCGGATAATAACAATATATATAACATTTAAAATACTTTCCCCTGCAGTGTTTTTAAAAGGGGGCGCTGACCCCCCGCAAGCGACTCCAGATAAACTCCAGGTGAACTGATAAATACTCAGCTGATTGATTTTCTTTTACAGATTATTGTATATAAATATGTGTGTTTGAAAAGTTTAACTATGTGATATATAAGAACAGAGTTAATGTGAGGTGGAAGAAGATTATGAGAGTTGTTAAGGTGAACTATGAGCCAGAGTTACGAGTGAGAGGTGAATAGTGAGGTGGAATCATGACTCCACTGTTGTTAAACTCTCGTTCACGCCGAACTCTGAATTATTCTCTCCGTTATATTTACTCCGCCTTTGTCCGTACCCGCCCCTTTGCTCCACAGAACCGTCGCCCATCTGCCATTCCGCCCACGCCCACGCCAGGGATATGGGGTGACTGTGGGCGTGGTTTGGGTGTGCTGGTGTACCGCAGTGTGGTGGTGTGGGCAGTGTTGGGCGTAGCTTATGTGGTGGGCGTCGTGGCTGGACCCATAGCAGGGGCAGCTGTGTCCTCCTCCCTGCTGGTCGCTGCTGTTACCTCACTCCTCACTGGTTAGTACTCAACCCTCATTGTTTGTACCGGTGTGACTTCACTAGTTAGTACTCAACTCTAGATTAACAGAGTAGTAAACTTAGTTTATCATTACTCAGGGAATCGTAATGAAGCAATTTTAAACGAATGACGTGATTTGTTTCCGATCGTGTTATTAAAATTTCGTGATTCATGATGGCGTCTTTGAGGGGCCTTGAGCTAGAGTTCGCTACAGTTCCTCTAGTCCTTAATGAGCCGAGCTGTAGTGCCAGCGGTAGACTGCATGTGGCCAGCAGACACAGACTGGATGATTGGATCCTCAACCAAGAGACCCGGGCTGGGACCTGACTGTTTGACCTGTAACCTGGATATCGTCTTCAGGTAACCTTCACGGATAACTACCTTGTTAGGCAGTGTTGTTCTTTTATGGCTGGCTTATGTCCTAATTAGTTGGTATATCTGTCTTGAACGAGAGAGACGCAGATTTGCTTCTTATAACATTTGTGACGCAACTTTCAACTACGCTGAGTCCTGGTTTCCATGGTAACACTATCAGACCACACCCACTTATACATCAAAACTAAATTACTTGGATGAAAGTGGGCGTGGTGGTGTGGGCGTGGTGGTGTGGTGATCTCTTGTACCTGACCAGCTGCTCCTGTCTACCTGACCAGCTGGTCTGGTGTATCTGACCAGCTGCTCCGGTCTACCTGACCAGCTGGTCTGGTCTACCTGACCAGCTGGTCTGGTCTACCTGACCAGCTGGTCTGGTCTACCTGACCAGCTGGTCTGGTCTACCTGGTCAGCTGGTCTGGTCTACCTGGTCAGCTGGTCTGGTCTACCTGGTCAGCTGGTCTGGTCTACCTGGTCAGCTGATCTGGACTACCTGGCCAGCTGGCCTGGTCTACCTGGCCAGCTGATCCGGTCTACCTGACCAGCTGGCCTGGTCAACCTGGCCAGGAACTTGCTACTGGAATCATCAAACAAATTAACCACGTCATGACACAGCTGAGAGAGAGTGAGAGGTGGACATAAACTCGCTTGTGAACACAGCTAAGGCTTCATGCTGTGTATGTGTGTACTCACCTAGTTGTGGTTGCAGGGGTCGATTTACAGCTCCTGGCCCCGCCTGTTTGTTGGTCGCTACTAGGTTCACTCTCTGCTCATGAGCTTTATCATCCCTCTTCTTAAAGCTATGTATGGATCCTGCCTTCATGACACCCCCACACACACCAGGTGTGTATCAACGCCCACCATTCATACACCCACACACACACCAGGTGTGTATCAACGCCCCCCATTCATACACCCCTACACACACCAGGTGTGTATCAACGCCCACCATTCATACACCCCCACACACACACCAGGTGTGTATCAACGCCCACCATTCATACACCCCTACACACACCAGGTGTGTATCAACGCCCACCATTCATACACCCCTACACACCAGGTGTGTATCAACGCCCACCATTCATACACCCCTACACACACCAGGTGTGTATCAACGCCCACCATTCATACACCCCTACACACACCAGGTGTGTATCAACGCCCACCATTCTTACACCCCCCACGCACACCAGGTGTGTATCAACGCCCACCATTCTTACACACCCCCACACACACCAGGTGTGTATCAACGCCCACCATTCATACACCCCCACACACACCAGGTGTGTATCAATGCCCACCATTCATACACCCCCACACACACACACCAGGTGTGTATCAACGCCCACCATTCATACACCCCCCCACACACACCAGGTGTGTATCAACGCCCACCATTCATACACCCCTACACACACTAGGTGTGTATCAGCGCCCAACATTCATACACCTCACACACACACCAGGTGTGTATCAACGCCCACCATTCATACACCCCACACACACCAGGTGTGTATCAATGCCTACCATTCATACACCCACACACATACCAGGTGTGTATCAACGCCCACCATTCTTACACCCCCACACACACCAGGTGTGTATCAACGCCCACCATTCTTACACCCCCACACACACCAGGTGTGTATCAACGCCCACCATTCTTACACCCCCCACACACACCAGGTGTGTATCAACGCCCACCATTCTTACACCCCCACACACACCAGTGTGTATCAACGCCCACCATTCTTACACCCCCACACACACCAGGTGTGTATCAACGCCCCACCATTCTTACACCCCCACACACACCAGGTGTGTATCAACGCCCACCATTCTTACACCCCCCACACACACCAGGTGTGTATCAACGCCCACCATTCTTACACCCCCACACACACCAGGTGTGTATCAACGCCCACCATTCTTACACCCCCACACACACCAGGTGTGTATCAACGCCCCCACATTCTTACACCCCCACACACACACCAGGTGTGTATCAACGCCCACCATTCTTACACCCCACACACACCAGGTGTGTATCAACGCCCACCATTCTTACACCCCCACACACACACCAGGTGTGTATCAACGCCCACCATTCTTACACCCCCACACACACCAGGTGTGTATCAACGCCCACCATTCTTACACCCCCACACACACACCAGGTGTGTATCAACGCCCACCATTCTTACACCCCCACACACACCAGGTGTGTATCAACGCCCACCATTCTTACACCCCCACACACACACCAGGTGTGTATCAACGCCCACCATTCTTACACCCCCACACACACCAGGTGTGTATCAACGCCCACCATTCTTACACCCCCACACACACCAGGTGTGTATCAACGCCCACCATTCTTACACCCCCACACACACCAGGTGTGTATCAACGCCCACCATTCTTACACCCCACACACACCAGGTGTGTATCAACGCCCACCATTCTTACACCCCCACACACACCAGGTTGTATCAACGCCCACCATTCTTACACCCCCCACACACACCAGGTGTGTATCAACGCCCACCATTCTTACACCCCCACACACACCAGGTGTGTATCAACGCCCACCATTCTTACACCCCCACACACACACACAGGTGTGTATCAACGCCCACCATTCTTACACCCCCACACACACCAGGTGTGTATCAACGCCCACCATTCTTACACCCCCACACACACACCAGGTGTGTATCAACGCCCACCATTCTTACACCCCCACACACACCAGGTGTGTATCAACGCCCACCATTCTTACACCCCACACACACACCAGGTGTGTATCAACGCCACCATTCTTACACCCCCACACACACCAGGTGTGTGTATCAACGCCCACCATTCTTACACCCCCACACACACACCAGGTGTGTATCAACGCCCACCATTCTTACACCCCCACACACACCAGGTGTGTATCAACGCCCACCATTCATACACCCACACACACACCAGGTGTGTATCATTGTATATACACTCCACTGGCAGCTTACTGTAACACCCGTCTAAGAAATTAAAAGTCCTCTATACGGGTGGTTGACAGATGACATAAAATTTAAATGACCCTCGTGCACTTGACAGACTTAAAGTTAGTTAGGTTTAAATACTAAAATCTGGTATAACCATAATTTTTAAAGTAATGGAGTAGTAGACCAGTGGAAGGCTTCGGTCAGATGACCAAAAGCTCCAGGGGTGAGTCATCATATGATTAAGACCCACGTCATGAAACACTTGTCCTGTTTTCTGACGAATCTTACCTAACGTATCACTATCACTGCTTAGGATTAAATTCTATCACTGGTTACGTTTAAATACATCACTGGTTAACTAGGTTCAAAGTTGCACGCTAACAGCAAGGGGGAGTAAACACGTCAGAAGGGCCTAACAAAGGAACACGAGTCCCATTTCAGCTGCATTCATTAAATTAACGAACAACACTCGAAATACATCACGAAAAGAGAGAAGCAACAAAACAAGAATAACAGTAAAGAAGATACTAAGTTTTAGCACCCATGTCCGTCCACATCCACGCCCGCCCAAACCCACGCCCACAACACCCACGTTTCTCCTCAGGTTCTCAGAGTCTCGTAAATCAGAAAATTCTGGACGAGTCACGCTGGATTTTCCCGAATTGTTGACGATCGGAAAGATAGCATTTGTGAGTTTACCGGGTATGGTTTATCTGGTGTGGGTTTACTGGGTGTGGGTATGGGTTTGTCGGTATGTAAGGTGTGGGGACTGTGTGTGTGTATAAAGGGGGTGGGCTTCACCGGGTGTGGGGATTGTGAGTGTGGGTTTATGGGTGCAATTTGAGTCGTATTGGATTTGTGGGTGGTTGTAGATGTTTCTAAACTGTGGGTTATTTTAGCATGGATACCTGGAGGTTATCTGGAGGTTATTCCGGGGATCAACGCCCCCGCGGCCCGGTCCATGACCAGGCCTCCCGATGGATCAGGGCCTGATCAACTAGGCTGGGAAGCCTGTAAATTTAGAAGGTGAAATTAGGGTTTACGAATGTGTAGGGATGCGTATGGTACCTTCAATAATTTTTCATGTGAATTGCTCAGTTTTCTAATAATTTTTTTTAACGTATTAGATTTTGTTGGCGAAGCGGGTAGTTTAAGCAACCTTTATTCATCCTGTGGATAGCAACGGAAGAATTTATATATCCATATGTCAGACTGTCAGAAATACTTGTAACTAAGCCTAAATCTCATTTGCTACAGCATCAATCATATATATATATAATATATATATATATATATATATATATATATATATATATATATATATATATATATATATATATATATATATATGCAAAACAACCACTCTGAAAGAATAGAGAAATTCCAAGCGCTTTCGTGACTACTCACATTATCAAGGAACTTCCTTGATAATGTGAGTATCACGAAAGCGCTTGGAATTTCTCTATTCTTTCAGAGTGGTTATTTTGCATATTCTGAAATCACCTGTTTACTGTGATCTTATTGCATAAATATATATATATAATATATATAATATATATATATATATATATATATATATATATATATATATATATATATATATATATTCTTCAAATAGACAGACCCCAGACCAGTGTATATATACCAGGAATGTTTGTAAATAAAGTGTGGAGGTGGAGTGGAAACATTGAAGATCATGTTTATACAAACATTTTTGTAATTGATGGCGCGTTGTGCATTGTGTGGTAAGAGTTTGAGGCGTAAGACCTTGTTCCTGTTGGCCAACGGATGTTTGACCCGTTAACGGGGTGACAACCAACGTAGAGAGACGCTGGTGCTGATGAACACAACACCACCACCTTCCACTTGCTTAATGATCCACAACGATCCCTTCCAGCACACAATCTCTCTCTCTCTCTCTCTCTCTCTCTCTCTCTCTCTCTCTCTCTCTCTCTCTCTCTCTCTCTCTCTCTCTTCTCCTCTCTCCTCTCTCTCTCTCCTCTCCTCCCCCGACATTCAAACACTAAACACTTCCTGTCTGTGTGTTGTCGTCCACCATGCATATGCAACACAGCAACATTGCAAAGCAAGATCCAGCTAGCCATCCAGCCAACCGTCCAGGCCGCCAGCCAGCCAGCCATACAGCCATCCAGCCAGCCAACGAGACAGCCTTTGCAAGTCCCTGAGGTCAAAGTTTTGGAGAGAGGCAATATTTGCAGCGTTCCCCCCGTGTGTTGCAGAGGTACAGACGATATTGCATTTTGTCGCCGCTATTAATCGGTCTGTAGTAAAGGTGGCAAGGGTAGAGTGTGTGTGTGTGTGTGATTCAGTATATACACGTTTGTGTATAGACGTTTGTATGGTTGTATAAATGTTTGCGTGTAGTGATGTGAGAGAGTACTACATTTGGCTCCAATCCGTGGGACAATTCGAAAACAGCTTCTGTACCACAAGACGGGCAGTAAACAATAGCTACACTCCGGCTGTACCCTTCTGGGGAGCATCACTTCATCTGAGATCATTTATTCCTAGAATAACTCTTGTCTGGAACATGTTAGCACAGCATAACATTCATGAAATATAGCCAGTTGACCAAATGAAATATCTGGTTCCACAGCTGGTTCCAACTTCATCTGGTCCACACCTGGCCCACAGATGTCTCCAACTTTATCCTGCTCCCTATTTGTATATCTCATAACAATAAAAAAAAACTTTCAAATGAGCCGAGGTAAGTAACATCTCGTAGCTTGTAAATAAAGTTTGCATCTCTTAACCCAACCTTGTAAAAAAACTTTTAAATTAAAAAAAAAAAACAAGAGAGATATTCAAAACATTCCCAGTGGGAAAATCTTTAAGGGCTTCACAATAAAAATTAATGTTTTACCAGCGACACGTACAAAGGTTATCAGTCAAACGTCTTCATTGTCACCATAAAAAGGGAAAATCTTTTGTCAATTTCGTTAGGCTGCGCTTAGGTCCTGGCATCTTATTATTATTATAATCATGTGGGAGCGCTAAACCCTTAGGATTATACAACGCATGTGGGGGGGGGAGGGATGGAAGGTATTCAGGCTCAATTCAGGGAACTGGAGTACAGATCCAATTCCCTTGATCAAGAGCCCCTCACCAGCGTCAAGGAACCTCCCTTGAGGGGAGGTCCTGGCATCACTGAGGTAGAGGAGGCTAGGCTTACGAGATCCAGGGATGCATTCACTCAACAGCCGAATATTATTATTATTATTATTATTATTATTATTATTATTATTATTATTATTATTATTATATTATTTGCTAGGTAAAGTATAGTAGGACAGGAATGAAGAACGGTGGGTACGTGGAAAGAAGAGAAATAGAAAGGGGTAGGAAATAGTGCAGTTAGAAGAGAGGGAATAAAAGAAAAGAAAATAAAGAAATGGACGGGAGAGAGGGGGAATAATAGGAGAGAGAAATGTCAGTTGGGGAGGCAAGAAATGTCAGTTGGGGAAGAGGATGAGGAGAAGGAGGGGTAGTGGTGGTAGACATCACAAAATCAATAATAATGGCCAGGGATGACCTGGGTGGTGGTCCTATTTCACCCTTCCTCCTCCTCCTCCTCCTCCTCCTCCTCCTCCTCCTCCTCCTCATCCTCCTCCTCCTCCTCCATCTGGGTGGGGAGTATGAGAAAGAGAGGAATAGAGATAGATAAAGAAGGGGATTAGGAGGAGGTGATGATGAGCAGTGAACCACAACTGACACACTCCCTCAGCGGTATATAGTTTCCTCTTGTTCTTCCAGTTGTTCATCATGTGTTATGTCCAGTGCTTTTGTTGTGTTTGTGTGCAGATTTATTTTTGTTGTTGCTGTTTCGCAATGTTGTGTCTGTCTTTATTTTGTCTTTGAATCGATTTATATTCTTTACAAATCTTATAAAAACTATACAAATATGACTACAGTTAATTACCCATTTAAAATTACAACTTTCTCAGAAATTTATATCACGTTACAATGATTATATATATAAATATATATATATATATATATATTATATATATATATAAATATATATATTATATATATATATGCAGTCACCAGCATGACAGTGTGTGACTGCACTTATTACATTGGAACCTACCTTCCTTCCCTTTATCTCCTATCCTTCCATTCTTTCTCCTCCTGTCTTTTCTCTCTTCCTTTCTTTCTTCATTCGTCTCTCCCCTTCTATCCATGTATGTCTTTTTTTTTTTTACCCCTATCACATTGTGATGTATCCAATTTTAACCGAATAAAAATTTCCTTCACGCGAGATCTTTCCCCACTCTTAATATCTTTTCCCCCGCTCCATATATTTTCTTTTCCTTCCTTCCCTAACATCCCTCTCCTAATAACCCCCGACCTTCTCCTCCCCATTTCTATTCCCACTTGGCGTCAGCTACCTAGGCAGATACCCTATGTATTGTCAGACCTCGACAACCTCAGACATATACCACAGGGCCATTTATTAGTTGTTTCTCCTATGTATTCATCTTCCTCATTACTTCCCTGACCATGCCGTACCGATATCATATCCCTTAGAAGACACTTGTGTGTGTGTGTGTTGTGTGTGTGTGTTGTCGGGGACTGGTTATCCCGAGAGATGGTAATTCCCACTTAACAGTAACTGCAAGCTCTGAAGGAAGAAAACCTTTGAATTATTATAATCAGGGGGGGGGAGCGCTAAACCCGTAGGATTATACAGCGCATGTGGGTGGGGAGGCATTCAGACTCAATTCAGGGAACTGGAGCACAGATCCAATTCCCTATATCAAGAGCCCCTCACCGCGTCCAGGAACCTCCCTTGAGGGGAGAAAACCTTTGAAGCTGCCGTAGATACTGAACCCATAGGCTTTATAAACCACGGTACAGGGGGTGCTTGAATTCGCGGCAACCATAGGCTTTATATCGTTATGGCCTAACTGAAGTCTCCCAGCTCAGGCTGACACATTTCATTACCCTCGTATATGAGAGAGTATCCAGCGTGATAGAATTTGACAGGGAAACATTGCTAGCTTCTGTTCCCTCGATGTAAGTTTCACATCCAAATTCAATTTTTTCTTTATTTTTATATGGTACAAAGATAATGTAGTTCACATATAATAAAAAACTGTTAGGCACAAAATAAAGCCACTAGTATGGAAATGTATTTAATTAATGCTTCAAGACTGCTTAAGAATTATACAGTCTATCAAGTAGAATTTTTGATGCAGTTAACTATGTATTATTATATACATAGAATTATATACATATAGAATAATGTATGTAAGCGTACATCGGGGGATTTACCCACCATGTAACTATCATATTGAATGGACTAGCCACACTGTGGGTGTTCTCATTGTGTAACTATCATATAGAGTAGCCACATACTGTGGGTTTCTACCATGTAACTATTATATATAATAGTGAAATGGCATATTGTGGGTGTTCCCACCATGTAATTATCATATAAAATAATGCATCTGAAGAGTGCGTGTTCACACCCTTGTAACTCGTGAAAGCATGTAGCAGCACAACGCTGCTGTGCCCAGCTGCTGATTACACAACACTGTGTCCACAGGTTTCTGCTACGTGGAGCTGGTGTCGTGGAGTGGTCAGTGTTCAGGTCAGGTGTATACTGTCACCTACCAGCTGGTGGGGGAGCTGCCTGCCTTCACCCTGGGTATATCAACACCCTCTTTACTGCCTCCACCCTGGCAGCCGTCACAAGTCCCTGGTAAGTTTATGTTGGGGTCCAGTAGCTACTAGATACATTAAAATACAGACGCTAGTTAGAACTGGTAAGTCATCTAGTCAACTAGCAGATTCTTAGACGTGGTTTCCTTAAGACACCTGCTGTCACTGTTCACCTAGCAGTAAAATAGGTACTGGGGCGTTAGTTGACTGGTATGGGTCGCATGATAGGTACAAACTTGACCTAATTTGCCCGAAATGCTCTGCATAACAAGGACGCACTGACTTTCTTGGGTTATCCTGGGTGCTAACCCTCCGGGTTAAAATCCGAACGAAATCTTATTTAAATAAATATTATTATTATTATTTACATCATGACTATTTACAATCGTAAGAACACAATTCAAACAGAACTCCCGTAGCCCTACCACTTCAAAAATTAGGGTTATGTATTGTATGATAATTGTAATCATCTAAACTTGCGTAGATAACTGTACCTTAATTTCTTTTTGATTATAATAATAACTGTACCTTAATAAACTTACTTGCTAATCTCTATTCTAGGACTTAGAATATGATTTTTTTATATATTTTATTTAAAATACAATACATAGCTTAACATAAAAAAAAACTTAAACAAGGGTTAATATACATTTAATATAAGCAAAATAACAAACGCAATATTAACAGACACAAAGAGGTTACACAAATATTCTAGAAAATATCGCTTGTGACAAAACATAACATTAAGAAAGATGGGTAATCTTAATCCTATTTACACAAGAACAACAAGAAGGACATAACATGTAGGTGACCCCTGTAACAGGTTCAATAATATAATTAAATCCATAATCCCGTCAGGTATACACTATTTACATAATATTACTGTGACATATTGCCAATGCACAATACAATAAGAAGAATATTACGATAAATATAACGGTTACTCACAACCTACACAATAAATGAAAGGACCTACATCACATTCTCATGATAAAACAAAGTACATACTCTTACTCATCTAACCCCCATACATAAGTTCCCTAGTCACACATACTCGCCTTACCACAAGTCTTACGAGTCAGCCACAAAACTAGAAAAGCCGTAAGCATTCCGCACTCATCTACGGGCTATACACATTATATAATTAGCAATAAAATGCTCGGTACAAACACATAAAACCCCGTTTGCCAGGGCAAAGCCTAAAGGTAAATCAAGTACTTCAACAAAGAAAGAAGGCAGTAAACTCTGACATAGACATCTATAACACATTATATAACTGCACCACCACAATCCTCTCACACAACTACATTTACCACAACCACACATTACACTGATACAGCAACACAGCCCTTGTGCATACCCAACCCCGGAGACGAGCCGTTCCATCCCCTGAACTTCAACCCCCTCTCCTTTCACAACGCTAACAATGTTCTCACACTCATACTACGGTACCCTGCTGAAAAAGCCTGGTCCCAGCGACTTCCATAATTTCCCGATTACAACACAAACGTTCTATAAATGGTCGCCGCCAACACCCTTTTGCGCACCTCTCAATCCCCATTCTCTCTCTCATCGCCCAGGATACAAAAACAAAATCCGCAATTATATAAGTGATTGCACGTTGCACAGGCGCCTCTACGCCTCCCACGTCCAAACTTAACGCCCTCAATACTGATATCCCGCCTCCTCCCACTGTCCCTGATACTCCCCAAATTATCACAAAAATACACTACATGAAACGCCATCTCCTCATCCCCGCACACCTGACACGCGCCCTCCACCATCAACCCTCTTTCCTTAAGTGCAGCACCCGATGGCAGTATACCATGGAGAAAACAGAAAAATACCTCTCGCACATTTGGTCGCACGCACATCAACCGTAATATCTCCCATATATCCTTCCACGCATACATAGGGTAGATACTCTCAGCCTTCGCGACTAGCTTCGCCCTTACAACACGCTCTAAAACACCCACTCGAACTTTATTAGGGTCCCGGACATGCAGCAACGCCCACAACACATCTTCACACACCCTCATTTCCGACCCTCCCCACCACATTTGCACCTCTTCATGTAAGTCATTTACGCCCCTCCTCGCTTGACCCCGCACATGGCGTAACCCCCACTTCAAATAAATACACTTGACTCTTAACCGTAAATCAATCAACCCCAATCCTCCTCTGTTGACCGGTAAAGTACCACACTCCTACTCAACCATTCACACCTGGAACCCCAAAGAAAATGGAAAACCCTCTTTAACACCCTCGTAACATCTGGACCTGCTAACGGATGTACCGCTGCCACTTGCCAGACTTTACTGTATAATCAACACATTCACAACAATCGCACGCTGATGTACTGTCAAATGAGTTGGTCTCAACCCATCCAAGCGCCCTCCCACTCGATCCACAACAAGTCCAGAATTAATCATCCTCGCCTCTCTCGCACTACCCATATACACTATCCCACACACTTTTATCCTGTCCACCATATTCCAACGTACATTCCATCCCCAACTCTCTCTTCCCACCCAATCTCCTAAGACCAGTAAATTTGATTTTTCCACATTAACTCTTAAACCAGTAACCCCGTGAAATTATCAATAACATCTCCTACCGCACGTAAACTCCTCAGCGTTCGCACGAGTATTGTCGTGTCATCCACGTACCCTATTATTCCCTGCTCTCCATTTCCTACTCCCCAATCCACCTCCATACACGCTCCCACCGCTCTATAGAAAGGGTCTGTTAAACAGGCAAACAACAATTGAGACGGGGACAACCCTGCCTAATACCCCGACCCATGGATACCCACTCCCCCAACTTCCCATTTACTTGTACACACACTCCCACACCTTTATACAATGTCTCTGCCCAAAGCACCACCTCCTCCCCAAAACCCTGCCTCCTTAATATGTACCACAACACCTCACGTTCTACACTATCATACGCCGCCTGCCAATCTAACACTAAGACACCCCCCCCTGCTCCCCTCCCGTCCCTTCCACAAAATTCTTTATAATACTATGCCCGTCATACATCGTCCTCCCAAACACACCATATTGTCCTCTCGCAACCACTCTATCCACCACACACTTCAGCCTATTTCCTAAAATTTTTGCAAAAATCTTATAATCAGCATACAGCAATGATATTATCCTAAAGTTCTGCACCGTGTCTTGTCGCTTACCTTTTGGCACTAAAACCACAACCACAGTTCCTTGCAACCTGCCCATCCTCCCCTCCCTTTTCATCGTATTCATTAGTTCTACTAAGAAGGACTTCAACACATTTCAATGGCTCACATAAAACTCGCAGGGCAAGCCATCCAAACCTGGTGCCTTACCTCGTGCCATCCCCTCTAAAGCCCTCCACACCTCCCTTTCTTCAATATCCCCCCCAATGCCATGCAATCACTGCCACTTAGCACATAAGATACATTCTCCCCCAACCCCCCAAAAGCCCCTACATCCACCCCTACACTCAGTAAATTTCTTCCAAACCACCTATCCACGTAATCACTCATCGCCTCTGTTGTTCTTAACTCCTGTCCCACCCTATATCCACCTAAGTCCTCATGTACTACCAGCCTATCAATTTCCATAGCCATACGGCGCTGCCTCTGTCCCCATAACACACAGGCCGATGGGCGATCACCCCACACCGCCTCTTCAAATCCACCCTGCACTCTCACCGCATCAAATCTGTCATTCTGCAAATCTCGAATCCTCCCTTTTAACAACTCGATTTCCTCCATGGGATACTGCCCTGCCTGCACGCCCCTCTTATAACAACCTTGCAACCTACCCTCGAACTACTGCTGCAACCCATACGTCATCCAACCCTGGTACTTTCCCCATCGCACATAAAACTGCCGGATCCTCTCCTTAGATACCCCATCCCACCACCCTAGCAAGTCACCCACATCCCTACCCTCTCCCCACAAATTGTCCCACATTGTCCCAAAATCTAACCCCGCCTCCTCCACCCCAAGAAGGCTCACATTTAACTTCCAATACCCTGGATACCTCTTAGGCAAGCTGGCCCAAGTCAAGTCCGCATAAACAGCTCTATGATCAATGTATACAGCATCTACCGTATGCACGCACATCACCCGCACACATAACTGAGCAAGTTAGAGGTAATCATTCGTTTCTCAACCTGCGGGCTGGGAGGACGCACTCTGAGCTTGCTCTGGCTTTCACCTAGTGGCACCCTGTGTACTACAATTCCCAAGATGGCGGAACGCCAAGGTCGGAGAGTGAACACAGTCTGTGTTGCATTTACCCATGGCTCCCTCAGTGGTTCTACGATGCATACATTAATGCCTTGCATCATACGTGACGTCTTCGGCATCCCCAATGAAGAATTATATGGCGTAGCGCTGAATGGGATGACGAGGATATTTGTGAAATTCGTGAATGCCGGCTTCTACTCAAAGATTGTACAAACCTATCAAGAAAGGAGGATGGTGGTGATTACGGCTGTGGAGGTTTGTCTGCATGATGTGTCAACGTATGTTACCTGGGTGAGGGCCAGAAACGTACCTTTTGAAGCTGAGGAATATGATCTGCGGGATGTTTTTGGCAAATATGGTATGGTGCATGCAGTGACCAAGGGAGTGTGGAGAGAGGGCCCGTACGAGTGGCTCCTGGAGGGCTCCTTCATCATCAAGATGACGCTATGACAACCAATTCCATCTTTCGTACGTCTGGAGAAATACAGGACTCGGGTATTTGTTCATTACGCTTGCCAAAGGAATACGTGCAGATTATGCAACTCTTATGAGCACCTGGCTGCCCAGTGCCCCTGCTGACTGGTTGCACGCTCTCGGGACCCTTCACCTGTGGGTCAACAGGCTGAGGCCGTTGTGCCTGAGTCTGGTACCTCTGAGGGGCACAGTTCTAAGCTTTGGAGTGACAAGATGAATGAACAGGACATGCAATCTTCCATGTGTGCCACCCTGTCAGTGGATGCCACAACCGTGCCCACGATTTCTGTGGTTCCTGTGAGTTCTGAGGTTTTGCCACAGGTTAGGTTGATGGAGGACGTGTTGCATGATCTCCTGGATGGGACAGTGTGTGGTCCTGATGATTCACCAGCGTGTTGTGAGTTAACGACGGAGGAATCTCCTAACATGGAGTTGCAAGACAACGCCACGGTTGTAAGGAAGCATGAGGTGGTGGTGGAGGTTCACCAGGAGGAGGAGTCTGGTGAGGAGATGTATGTGGAGGGCAGCTCTTGCAAAAGGTCGGCGGGTGCGTCGGACATGGACGAGGTCTTAACACCAGGCCAGCGTCTGGGGAAGAAATCGTGGGCGAAAGTGGCTGAGATGCCCTTCACAGAAGGGGTAGTTGCAAGGTCCCAGCATATGGGTAAAGCTCGGGGGGAGGGAGGTATTGAGAAGACGACTGCCAAAGTAGGGCAGTCAAAGATACGTGTGGGAACGGGAAAGACCCACAAACATAGAGGAAAACCTTTTTTCCCTGTAATTTCCTGTATTCCGTGTGTCACCATCAATGCCAATGGCCTGAGAATGGAGGTTAAGAAAGTGTGGATGGAGTGGTTTCTGAGACGTTATGACGTGGATGTATGCTTTCTGCAGGAACACAATTACAAGTTTGGCGGAGAGTTACGATTGAAAGGTTTATCGCATGTATGTGAGTAATTCTTTAAAATTCAAGGGGTGGGGTGGCTCTAGTGGTGAAGGAGTCCAGCCCTTGGAGTGTCTTGGGATGGGAGGAGGGTGGGGGTGGAAGGGTGGTAAGGGTCGATGGATCTTGGGGTGGGGTTAGTTTGTTTTATAGGGTTTATATGCCGGCGGATAGCAACTCTAAAGTGAAAATAGATTTTGTACGGGAGGTTTTAACGTATCACACTCGGGGTTTGCCTTTAATTTCGGTCTTGGGTGGGGATTGGAACTGTGTTATCTGTCATGGTGAGTTGAGCGTGGGGGGCGGGGTGCGTTTTACCTGTCCTACGAAATTTGCTGGGGGATGCAGGGGTTTATGATATGGTGGGGAGGGGTGGGTGGGGGGTGGAACACACGTTTGTTCGCAGAGGCTAAGCGGCATGACTGGACAGAATTTATGTAACACAAGGCATTAGAGTTGGGCGCGTACAGACGTTTGATATAGGATTCTCGGATCACCGTACAGTGCTGGCAGTTTTGGACTGGGAGGGAATGGTACGGATTTATCCTGGTTATTGGAAACTAAACGTGTGGCTTTTGGAGGGGGAGGGGGAGGAGTCTACTTTTCAGGTTTGGTGGACGAATCTCTGAAAACTTAGAAGGTTGGGGAATGTTTGTTGGAATGGTGAGAAATGTGCGCCAAACCCGGGATAACGAATTTTTATAGGAATCAGGGTAAGGAAGAAGCGAGGTGGAGATATGGGCTTCAAAATTACCTGGAGGGACAACTGAATGATTATTATGTTAAGGACGGAGTAGTAGGTATGAAAACATCAAACATCTGCGCGATCAACTAGCCGAAATCCACAATGAGCGGTTCAATGCAGTTCGCATCAAGGTGGGTATGGAAGAGGTGCTCTGGGGAGACAAACCTTTGGGTTGTGTCCTGCAGAAATTTCGGGTTCGACAACAAGCAACACCCAGTTACTTTCTAATACGGACAGCATGAGTTTTTGTACTGACCTTTGGTTTGAGGACAAGCTTCGACGAAGAGCAGGGGGTATTCATCAGGGTAGTCTGCTGGGGGGGGGAATTCAGAAAGTTCATAAGTGAAAGGGATCAGGGGGGGGGTACTAGAGGGTTGGATTCATGAGGAGGAGGTCGAAGAGGCGATATTTAAGATGAGTAAAGGGAAAGCACCAGGCATAGATGGTATATCCAATGAATTTTATAGGATGCATTGGGGGCACATCAAGCAATGCTTGGTTGAAGTATTGAATTGCATGCTCGAGAGGGGGAGGTTGGGTATGTTGCAGCATGCAGGGGTAGTGATGTTGGTGCCCAAAAAGGGAGGTGGAGGGGTCTGAGCACATGTAGGGCAATCTCTCTCATGTGTTCAGACTTTAAAATATTTGCAAAGGTGCTTGGCAACAGGATGAGAAAAGTTATTGGATCGGTTATTCATAAGGGACAGCTGGGTATACCAGGTAGAAGTATGAGGGAAGGACATGGGCGTATTAGGGAATTCTTGGGGGAATGTCAAGGGAGGGGTGTCCTAGGGCTTGATTGGCAAAATGCTTATGACTGTGTTGACAGAGATTTATTAAGACTTATTTTATTGAAGCAGGGTTTTGGAGAAGGAATAGTACGCTGGGTTGACACTTTGTATGATTCAGCACCGGTAAGAGTACAGGTGAGCGGTAAGTTAGGGCAGCCTGTACATATGGAACGGGGTTTGAGGCAAGGTTGCCCCCTCTCTCAGCTGCGTTTTGCCTGTGTGCAAAATCCATTTTACGATCTGGTGGATGACAGTTTGGGAGGTGGGATACAGGATAATAATCGTGTGTGCGTAGTCGGTTACGTGGATGATACAACAATTTTGTTAAAAGGGGAGGGGGATTTGCAGATCGTGGTAGGGTTGTTGCGGCTTTTGGGGCGGTAACTGGTATGTGTGTTAACAGAGCAAAATCGAACTTATTGGAGGTGGGTACATGGGTGGGGGGGGGGTTTGGGCGAAAGGTATGGTTGGTCGGTAGTGGTGCAATTAAAAATTTGTGGGATCGTGTACATGGCGGAAGAGGTGGAGGGTCGAAGGGTAAATTCTGCACTAGTGGTCAAAAAGGCTTTAGATCGTCTCAAAGGTGGTTCAACTCTCTGGTTTATAGCAAGGTACGGGGCGTGGCTGAGGTATACCCATTAAGGGACATGGATATTCAGGAGCTGCAAAGACGGGTCTTAAGGTATGTATGGGGCTATGGGCGAGCTTGGTTGAGTAGGGAGGTGGTCAAGACACATGTACGTCTTGGGGGGTCTAGGTCTCTTGGCTTTGGGGCCACGGACGAAGGCTATATGTAAAGCAACGATTCCTGAGGGAGGGTGGGGAGAGAGGAGCCAGGGTGGGTAGGGTAATGGTAGATATACGCAAATGGTGGAGTGATAGAGGCTTAATTGAGTGTGAGGACATGTTGCATCTGTTGTTAAAGTTGAAAAATGTTCAAAGCATTAGGGCTGGGCAGATGGTGAGAAGATGTTGGCATCGGTTATTTGTGCAAGGGGTGTCTGCTTTTCCGCTGTATAATTGGAAAGAAATATTGGACGGGTTTTGTAAGCTTAAGTTGGCGCCGAAGGTTCGCGAATTAGTGTACAGATTTATCATGGGCATTTTAGCTTCGAAATCAGTTTTAAGCAGGTTGGGTTTGGTAAGAGATGCGCATTGTTTACATTGTGGTTTGGAAGAAACAGCATACCATGCTGTTTATTTTTGTGACGCTTTGGACGATGTTCGTACGTGGTTAGTAGTAGATAGGTTGTTCGGGTATCCTCAGTGGTGTATCTCAACCCGTGCATTACCCAAGAAGTTAGCGAGTGTCATGGAGGAGGGAATCCAATGTTCTGAACTTATATATCCATTGGGGCTTAAAACTTGGTCCCAGTTGGAGGCCAATCAGCGGATTAAACAGGTAACGATTTGTTAGGTGGGAATGGGTTAACGCAAACTGTAGGATATTTACATACCGCGGAATCGAACCTGAGGCTCGTGGGAGTAAGGCGCGAGGGGTAGGGATTTATGGGGGAATCTCAGTAGGTGAAAGGGTTATCTAAGTTGTGCTTATTCATGGATTAGGGAGTGTCAGGGAGTAAGGGCAATCCTATATGTGGTGCTGACTTCCTATATATCTCATGGGGCTATTTTGAAAGATAACGAGGGTGCAGTTCGGGTTAGGGCAATTGCAGCGGGTTATTTATAGAACAGCTTGTAAGAACAGGATCCTTTACGGTGGGAAGTGGGGTTCCACTTCTCTGCAAGCTTAGGATATTTACAGTACGGGGTTTATTGAACTGAGGGGGGGGGAGTAAGGCGCGAGGGGTGGACTCTTCCAGGAAACCCCCTACATCGTTGATTTTTAGAGTGAAAGGTTGAGTGCTAAGTTGTGGGTTGGTTATGGTATGATTTGGGGCTTTGGTTGATGGCAGTGCTAAGATGTGTGTCTGAGAAAATTGTTTTTTTTTTTTTTTTTTTTTTTTTTTGTCTGGGCATTTTATAGCAGCGGGAAAAATTTGGTTTTTTCGGTAAAATATAAAAACACGGCCATGTCAGGGTTTGTACATTTGCGCATTTTTGTAAAAAAATTTTTTGCTGAGTTTTTTTGGTGACGTAGGAGCCATGGGGTTTTTCCCCAGTGATTACGTAGGCATTTTAGATTTGTATCTAAAATCGCCCATGATGTCAGCTTCAAATAATGTGTTTATTCCCTTGATGGGGGTTATTTTTAAGCATTATAATTGGTCTGTAAAAAGACAACTTGTCCTTTTGGGACCCTTTTGAAAAAACGACCAACTTGAGGTTTGCTTCATTTCTAAAGGAAGGGGCAAAAGTATAGCCTACAAATGGTTTTATCAGGTAGTCTCATGACTCCTATTTAAAAGTTTTAAGGATTTAATGAGGGAAATAGGGGGTTTTTGTGTTTTGGGGAAAAAGGTTTTTTTTAAACAGGGGGGGGGGGGTTTAGTGAAGTTTTCCCCACTTAAACCCTTGGGGCTCGCACGCTTTTGGGTGCAAATATTGATTATAAGGTTAATTAGGGCTTACAATTGTTTTCCCCTTGGGGTATCCCCCCTTCCTTTTGATTAAAATTAAATAATTTTGTTCCATGCCCTAAACTACCCCACCTCTTGGGCTGAAACCTAAACCTTTTGTATTGATCGGTAATAAATTTTTTTTATACCATTCTTTTGTACGTAAGTTTTTTCAATTTATATTTTTTCAATAAAAAAAAACAGGACATTCCCTTTTTAAACGATGCTTTTTTTACAGTGTAGGTTTAAAATTTTGTTTCGATTTTTTAGTGATTTCAAAAATGTTTTTTACATTTATCTCAATTATTTTTTAATTTGCATTTTCAGAAAAGCAGGGATATGAGTTTTGGGCCACTAGTGATTTTTTTATTTAATTTAGGGGTTGGTTTTTTTCCTCTTTTGCGAGGAAGTTTTAAATGTTTTTTTTTTTTAACCTACTTGTTTTTCGATAATGCTATCCATGTATGTTTGTATTTCAGTTTTTAAAAAAAATAAAAAAAATACCCCAAAACTAAAAAATAATGTCAAGTTATATCTTTAGAGGAAACAGGGTAAGTTTTTTTAATATGTTTATTTGACCCCTACCCACCCTGTGGGGGTAGCAAAAGATTACAGAGGTCAAATTGGGGCCCGGGGATGACTCAAATTTTTGATGTGAGCAAGTTAAAGGGGTAATGAACAGGGTAAGAAGAGGAAAATAACAAAGTGTTCTCAAAGGGTCTGCCTCTAAATTTAATTCGTTTTCTCAAATCTCTTGATTTTCCCTCTATAGTTTCCCCCTTTAAAAGTAAGTAAGTAATTTTTTTCAGGTATCCCAAAAAATACGTTAATAGAATTATAACATAGCAGCATATGTGTAGAAAAAGGTAACCCAAAAAATCAGACAGAGTGACTTTTTTTCCATTGTGGGCCCTTTTACCTTATTTTTAAAATTAAAAAGGTTATAA